AATCCAGCGATTAGCCAGGAACACAACGGGAAAAATAAATTGGCAACGCTGTGGTGCACAGCATTCAGCGTTGAAGTCTAATTATACATAATTACGCATAATTAAAATTTAATTAACACAATCAAGAGCTGCTCGCACTCGCACTCGCTTAAACACACAAACACAGTGAGCCGCAAACAGAATTCAAGCCAAAAGTAAAACCGGCAAAACGTGTCCAATGTGAATGTGAATGTCTTTTGGCCAAGTTGCGTGCCGCATTCGCGAGTGAAATAGTGCAACAAATTTCAAGCATTTTCTTAGCAAGTAAATAATAACAACTTTTATTTCTTGCCAAGTGTTAAAGAGACTAGCACAACGCAATTGGCCAATACCGAAACGAGTGCAAGTTCAACGGCGAAAACAAGTTTCACATTTTATTTATTTTCATTTTATTTTATTTTATCTTGTGCTCTGTTGGCCAACTCGCGCCAGCGTTATTGTCATGCCCCTTGTCCGCATATGAGGAAGTTAATGCCTGAGCAGCGATCTACTCTGCTCCGCACGCAAAGAGCAGCCAAAGAAAACCAAAGAAAAACTAAATAACAGTTACTATTTAGCGGACCGGCATCGCCGCCGCATTGCCTCTCCCATTAAATATGCAGTAAAATTGCTTTTCTTTCAAGCTGACCAACGGGGAAATAGGGGGAGCTAGCGGACTAGTTGGTGTACAAAGTGGGTCTGAGAGTGCAGCGCCAAGTCGGTCTCTGTGCTAAATTCAGTTTACTATTTAGGCAAACTGGCGTTTCAGTGTTAATGCCGGCCGAACACTTGTTTTGACAGCGCCACAGTGCACAGTGGGACTATGTTTGCGGTATTGTAAGCAAATCCTTTATATCAATAAAATATGCTCTCTGGTGAAAAGATCTGCAAAATGTGATTTAAAACACTACGAACAAATATATCAATTAATATATTGTTTGAATTCTTAATGTTTTTTAGGGATCAATAAGATAATTTGATGTCATGGAAACATTTAAAAAACAAATCTGCTATGCTTGATAAAATTATACTTTGATATTATCTTACACAATTGAATGTATATATTTATGTAAAATGATTTATGAAAATTATTTAATTTATATTGTAAATAAGAATGATTAACCACAGTTATTATATGGTCACCTATGGGCCAGACGATGTCGTTGACCACGCCAAAGCAAAAAAAAAAAATGATATTCTTGCACAAGTTTGACAATAATAAATGGATGTGTGCTGTCATTGCGACAAGTACTGGTATTTTGGACAGACGATTCTCCGACTGTCAGACCATCAAAAGCAAATTAAATTAAGTACCCAAACAAAACATACACATACATAAATATACACTGACAGAAATAAGTAGTTTACAAGCGGCTGGTAAGCCAAGCGGAAATAGACTGTGACATCCGCCGAGTGCTGACAGCTTCAACTGACAGTCATGGTTGGAAACAACGTGCGCCTCTGGATCTAACACATCCGCTGGACGTTGGCCACAAATTTAATTAGAAATCTGCACGGCTGTGACTTCAGGCGAGCTAGTTCAAGGCACTCGGTTTCCGGCAAAGCAAATAAAAAGCAAAATATATTTTCACACTTTGCAATATAATTAACTAACAAAATTTCTTTCTTCTCTGCTCTTGTCATTTCAGCACACACACACACACACACACATACTCACACATGCGCTCAAATTGGACCGTGAAAGCAACAAAATCAAGAACAAAAAAAGTAATAATAGCAAAAATATAAAAATAAATAAAAGCAAACAGCCAGCAAAGCGTGCAAAAAGGAAAAGCAAAGAAAATTATTATAGTTAGCATAGAAGCTGGGCAGCCAGGCAGTGAAGTAGGGAGATAGGTGCTACACAGTAGCTTGGCTAGAACATCGAGAAAATGATTATGATGATAATAAATTAAAGTTGCCATTAATTTAGTAACGAAAACGGCTGTAGAAGGTAGCAGACGGTAGCATAATAACAATAAATAATAATTTGAAATAGGCAAGCGAATAGACAGAGCGACTTGGGGCCTGAACTGGAGAACTGGAGCCAGTGCAGCAGCCCTCCAACCACAAAACATACCATAAACAACTCCAACCAAGAGCAGCTCGAGCGCGTCGAGCGTGCAAATTAAAAGCGCACAGTAGCACGAAGGAGCAGCAGCAACAGCAACAACAACAACAACAACAACCACAGACAGCAACATGGAAGTGGCAACAACAAACAATCACAGTCAGAGCCATCATCATCATCATCTTAGTGGTGGCAGCGGTGGTGCTGGCGGCGGCGGTAACGGCGGTTCCCGTTCCCCGTTTCAGCGTGAGGTGCGTGAATGGCAACGCATCGATCCGGACACTGGAGCGCTGTTCAGCGGCCGCTTGGAGGCAGATCGCTGGATAAATGGACCACTGAACAGCTATGGCAAGGTAAGAAAGAGAACTACAGGCATATATACAACCCAGAGAAAATGCACAAATAAAAAATTGAAAATTGATTGAATTAAGTTCTCTTGGACTTAAGTTAAAAGCTCTCTAGTCTATAGCTGGATTCTGTAAATATGTTTATATAAAAACATTCCAAAACATTGTCATGGCCTGTAGCACAAATTGATTTATCCATATGGATAAATTGTATTTATTTTCGTGCTTTTTAATATTTTGTGAAAATATTACATTTTCAGTTACGACAGTCCGTGAAATTTTAAATCAAAACCTGATTTTCTTCAGAAATGACGTTTGTTTTTTATATACTATGCAATTTATCGCAAGAAAACTGACAGAATCAAGGTCCAAAAGCTATAGATGCTATAATAGACATTTCATCTGTTCTTTTATAATCGAATCTTTGCCTCGCATCCTTAATTTCAACATATTTTCTCACAGTGCATCGTGCGTTACCATAGCTCTGATTGATGCCTAGGTGGAGGACTAATTGTTGTAGCTTTTGTTTGCAGTCAGTGTAGCCTTTTAGGTAAGAATGGGCAAGAGCATTAAAATGAAATTGAAAGGCACGCTCCAGGCTGCAGCACTCTAAATGTAGAGGCGTCTACTAATTTAGTGCACTCCGCAACGGGCTGGGCTATCGACTGATTGAGCTTGATTGCCAGTTTGGTTAGCTGCCTTTCGATTTTAATCAGTTAATAGTTTATTTAGCTATCAAGCAATTGGGACCAGCCCCCAAGAATCCAATGAAAAGACATTACTAAAACAATAAGAGAGTTAAGTAAGCTATGAATTTTTTTTACCTATCTTTAAGGAAACTTAAAGCAGGGATAAAAACTATATGTATATAAGAAAGCTGATGAATATACATAATTACTTAAGCCATTCAAGATATAGAAAATACAAATTTAGCGTTTGTCATAACATTTTTTTATACAAAAAGTTGATTTGTTAATGGGTCATGTAGAGAAAGAATTTGAAAGACTGTTTAATATCATTCAAGTGCTTAGAAGAAGCAGTCTTATATCAAAGAAAGTAGCTAGACAGCTTGGTTACCCACTCACTGCTAAATTGATTTCAATTAAGATTTTACAGTTTTAAGCTTTAAAGCAATTATCCATACCCAAAGATTCCATTGATGTCACTGGGCATGCGGTTCAAACCGTTAGCTACGCATAGCAAAAACTTTGATAGATACTTTGTATTCTGACGGTTTGGCTTTTGTGTGTCAGAGAACTTTTCTTTGCCGGATCGAGAAACTGCATCAGCGTTGACCATCTTCACTCGGGCATAATTAACAGGTCGCACGCATGAGCTGCTTAGATACTTCTGCTCACACAGATATAAGGTACACACGCTGTGCCACTTATTAATCGATTTGTTAGATACAAATAAGAAACGTACGAATCTTTCGCATTTATAATTGCCAAGCAAGAGCCAAACGCATGGCCAAGTCACTTGAATATATCAGCAAGTGTTTATTTTGCTATTGTTTTGATTTGCTTTTGTACCTTTACCTTTCCACACACTCACACACATCTATGCACACACCTCGCTGTGGTAATTAATGCGCGCTCTTCAGATTTCACTTGTCTTTGGGCTATGCTTTTATACATTTTGTTGCCATTGATTGCTCTAGAATTTGTCGGTTAATTATAATGACGGTAGACGGACCACAGTTCAACACCAGATTTTGCTTGCTCATTGAGTATCGAATATTGAGTATCGAGTGCCGAATGACGAGGGACGAAAGCCGGTGCCATCATGCCCTGAGTCGTGCGTGTGGCCAACTCAAGTTCACTGCTCAAGTGCCGGACGGCGGTTCAACAATTCGAGCGTATTTTATTTGGCTGCGAGAATTGAGTTTCTCCGAAATACTCTACAAAACACTACTCTGTAAAGTTAATACCAATGCAATGACATCATCGTAGGGCGCAAGAGTGAACAACCTGTGTCAGTTTTGAGATCAATTCAATAAGAGTTCTGATAACAATTAGCAAAGCAAAATCAACAAAGTTTTTGTTGCTGTCATATTGCTTTTCAAGCATTCGATTTTAATTGATTTTTTTCTATAGTTTTCTGGTTTCTGTTTTAAGGTCAATTTAATAATCACTTAACATGCAGCTAAGAATCAAGTTCACACTTAACTTATTTGAGAAATATAGGTGCTTTACTTTCTTCCATATATGTGACACCAGATACATGAAAAAAATTGTATGTGCACGATTTTTAAATTTTCCATAACTTCTTTCCTTTCCGCCACTTAATTTAATTTATATCTTACATATTTGAGGAGCGCATGTTACTAAAAACAAAACTAATACTTAAATCAACTATCTGAAATTTATGTTTAATTTAGTTTTTATAAATTAAAAATGAAGATATACGAAAAAATATAACAGAAATAAATATTCCAAAAAAACATAAAATATAAAAATATATATAGCAAAAATATATAAAAAGAAGGCTAGGTCTTATGTAAGAAAATGTATATAGAATGTTTTTCTGAAACTTTTTCAAACAATTTATTTCCATTTTTTTTAAGTTTTATTTATTCACATTCTTTTAATTTTCATTAAGTGCAGATATAAAGTTACAACTTCTAATGAGCTTTTGGTCTGATCATAACTTGAGCAAATTTAAGCACACTTTTTTGCCATGGATACCAATAAAATCCACTGTTATAAGGTCCGTTCAGATTGCTGAAAATCAAATATAAATTATATATTAATAAACAAAGAAACTAATAAATACAAACCAATGATAACAATTGTTGAACCACCAACCGGAACTATTTTCGTCGGCACAATTTCTATTGCTATTATCATTATCAAGATCAAATGTTGAGAATTTCATATTTTTATGATGAACCATCGCATCACCGGCATTTCCCGAATAAGCACCCAGAGAGGTGATTTCAAATGAGGCATCGTCATCAGCAATCGCAAAACTGTCGTAGCGCGCAAATCTAGTTTCATTATTCAAATTCTGCAGGTATATATACAATTCGTAGGGTTGCGATTTGGTTATAAGATGCAGTTTATCAAGTCCTATAAAGAACTCTCCCCGCAAATCGCCAAAGCCCTGTTGATATTCTCGCCAGTTGCGATTAAAATTCACATTGCCATTAATACGACGTAGAACAACGGTCCAACCGGATCCGGCTAAAGTCGAGTCGCAGGAAACTTGAAACGGTTCCGTGCCGGGAACTTTTATTTCATGCAAATCGGTAGATTTGCATAGGCAGCTGGAGAATTGGCATTTGTTGTTCTGTAGCATAAACTCGGAGAGTCTCTTCTCTAGTTGTTCGATTTTTTCTTGTTCGCTTATGGTTTTGATTCTCAGCATAGCTATCAATTCGTCCTTGTTCTCGAGCTGTGTTTCCAAAGCGGATATTCGACCCTCCAGGCTTTCACAATGGACCACACACAATGCCGATAGCCACAAAAAAGCGAATGCAATTAGATTTCTTGACATTTTTGTTAAGTTATCCAATCGCCTCCAATCACTACAAATTGAATGTACGAACTAGGCGTTCAATTGTTTCGATTTGACTTTATAAAAGCTTTCGATAAGCGTATTTGGGTTCAACACTGTTTTGACTCTCAGCTATTGGGCTTTGTATACATATATTATCGTCTGTTTATTGAGCTTTCTATTGTTTTTATAGTATATATGTTACATATTATTTAAAAGCCTTGACTTATTTAATTTGCATAAAACCTTTTACTGAGCTATGTTTAACAACTTATACGATTTTAAATAAATGCCATATACTTATGTATGCCGCATATTCAATGCTACCTCATTTGAAATTATTTTGAAAGTGTGAAAAATACCATCTATAACGATGAGGGCAATATCGCTATAGGTAAAGGTATAAGCCCCACTAATTTTTCATTTTAATTCATTTACCTCCTTTTTCTTGCATGCATAGGGACGACTTTATTTTTCTGATAACACAGACAGCAAAATCTTGACAATTGTTGCAAAAATAGTTGCTCTATCTTATTCACGTTTATTAACAAATATAAAATGGGCATACGACTTTACATTCAATTTTCGCAAGATCTTTAGAAATATTTAGTGAATTTACAAAATTACAAAGACCTTTTGTGATCTATTGTTACATTCACTCCCTCGCAGCTCAAATGCCCTTTACATTTACCATATGGCTGCAGGGTATATAGAAACTTGCTGAAAGTTGTTGCGGCTGTTGCTGTTTTTATTTTGCTGCCCAACTTATCGCGATTGAACTTTGCTGCCACTGCTGTTGCTGTTGCTGCTGCTGCTGCTGCTGGCGCGACCAACTGCCGATCGAGGCAATCAATAGAATCGAAAACAATCAAAGAACCCCATTGAAAAAGAAAATGAAGCCGGCAAGGAATATGGAGATGAAATTGGAGTTGGAGTTAAAGTTTGCAGCTATTTCAGTGGTCAGTTTCAGTTTAAATAGTCGCGCAGTTCATTTGATTGGCCCGTTCCGAGTGGGAATTTATAACAATGTGAAGTCTATTGACTGGTTATCCCGCTGTGTCTGTTTGCCGACAAAGTCAAAGGCAACTTGCCGACAGAATTCAATTGACTGGCGAGATCTTTGATTTGTGCCAGGGCAGAACGAACAACAGACGCATCCCAGCCCAGCTCCAAGCACCGTTAGACAAACTGCTCCAAGAATTGAGTCTGTGGCGCTGGCTTCATTTACATTATGGATAGTTGTACAGAAATTTACATTTTTGCTAAAGCGCAACATGCAGAATTTGAATTTGATTTTTTTTTTTTTTATATTTGCCAAAGCTGGCTGTTGCTGTTGGCAGTTGCTGCAATCACCGTGGGGCAGACGTGGCATGCGGCAAGTCAGCCCGAATGCAGGCTAACGGTACACATAGACGCTGGCAAGCGATGTCTTTGTGGGTCACTAGGTTGCCAAGAGACGCGCAGCCACGCCACATAAAGATGCGGCTGCAAATCTTCCAACTTGACCAGCACTCAGTCCAGTCGGTTCGTTTGGGCTACTGGCCACTGGCTCGTAAATTACATGCAACTAATTGAGGATGTCAACTGACATGTCTTGCTACGATTAAAAGCTTCGCCAGTTGTTAATTTCCTGTACACAGCACAGTCACACAAATGCATACATACACACTGCATCCAAGCAGCCTACAACTTGGCCATGATGCGGTCATGAACAGAGAGGGCCCACATATGATTTACTCGATGTACTCAAACAAGCCATAAGTACTCGTAGTCGCGCTTGGTACTCATACATTTATATATATATAAATATACATATATGCGAGATCATAGACTGTGCTCTATAGAGATATAAAGCCAACGAGATCGTGACAGAAATAATGCATATAAAAATGTATATTATTAGCGTTTAAGAGGCGCAGAGCTAAAACCCAGCATGGCCAACAAAATGGCCATTGTTAGGCAGAAAGCAATTTAAAATGCAGCATGCAGCACACTGGGCTCAATTTCAGGGAAAATGGAATGGCATATAATTTGAAAATGTATAAAACCTTCAAATATTTATACTACTTATGTACTCAATAAGAAACGTATTATTAATATTTCTTAATTTATCAAATAATATACCCTCATTAGAAAAATAAGTTTAATTTTTTTTATATTTAGAAAATAACTAAATTAATATTCGCTAATATTCATAAGTTATAAAATCAAAAATAAATGCAAGTTACATTTTTTAACTAATTTAAAATATTAAGAAACATTCAAAAATAATAATATATTCTTATACGTATGTCATTATTATTTGTATGAACTTCATTTATAGAAGACAAGAAAAGGGATTTACAAAAGGCGCTTAGAAGTATGAGTTATTTGTGTGAATAAAACAAGTAACACATTTTCGCAGGCTTCGTAACCACAGTGCAGCCAAAGTCAGTGCCAGCTAAAAATAAAAAGAGTCAACGCTTTGGCATGTCTATGCAGCGATCTGTGTAAGCCCTGCCGCCAGAAAAGGCGACATGCATGCGCAGACATGGAGCATATGGCAGCCCAAAGACTGACACAGACAAACAGACGAACAGACTGCAAAGACAGAGCAGGCCAAGAGCTGAGATAGACAGTCAATCTTATAGCCAGAGACAGCCACGAAGACGACGACGACGATGTTGCGGGCAGCATCATTAAATTCGTTTAAAGCATGGCCCGGGCGAAAATATTTTGGCATAGGCCAAGCCAGAGCCGAGACAGAGGCGGCGGCAAAGACGGGCAACGTCTACAACGTCTACATCATCACGACTTTGGGCTCTGGGTACCATGGCTGAGCACACTTGTAATATATGCGCGTCTCGGGGTACCCCTCTTCCTGCCAGCCAGCTGCATTTTGCAGCTGCCGCATTTCATTGAACCTTCAACTTGACTTTGAGCCAAAAGCAACAGGCAGCAGCCATAAAGCCATTGAGCATTTTTCAATTTGGCTATGCGAGGCGCGGGATCTTGGTTTTATCAGCCAGGCAGCCAGCCGACCGCATGGGGGCTCAAGTTCGAGATCATGACACTGATTCCTTGATTGTTTGGCCATGGCAAAATATATTTTTGTTTTGGCGAACGCGCCAGCTGCTGCCTTGATTAGAGCAGACCCCTGGGGGAGTGTGAGTTTTCAACAGCCATGCAGATTGGCATAGCTTAATTAGCCCGGCTGCCAAGCGAAACCAGGCCAGACCAGGCCAAGCCAGGCCAGGCCGGGACCATAAAACTCTCTAGCGGGCAAACAGTAAAGCCGCAGCCTATACACATACATTCCAGCCAGCTCCGCTGGTAAAAAGAGGTCATCGATAGACACACACACTAACAAACAACAACAACAAATGTAATACCTGGCCAAAAGGAGATTTAAGACAAGTCTTCTTTTGTCTGCCTTTGTGGCGTGAGAAACTCAGCGACAGAACGTGCATCGCCCCAAGGGTTCGAAACTTTGCTTATAATTTATGTATGCACCGCAATTGTGGCTCATACTAGGTACCAGGTAACTGGCACTGGTACTTGGTACCCAGTACCTGGTATTGAGTACCCTTGGCTGCCGCTCAAGGATGAGTGTGACTTAAGGGAGCCGTAAAAATTATTATGCATTTGCAATTTGCCTGCGGTAACATGGTCTGACTCAGCTGAGGACTCTCAAAGCCAATCAAATCCAGTAATGAAAGCTCATTGGGGGCAGTCCTGAAAGCGATAGCTAAGATTGGGAATAAATTGTAGTTGGCGAATTGTGGCAAAAAATTACCATAGCCAAAGAAACAGAGAGTTTACTGTCACGATACACTTAGAATACAATTTCTCAAGATAAATAACATTTTTTATTTAACTCACATTTTTTTCTAAATTTTATAATTAATTTTGTTATACAGCGAAACTTGACACTGAAATATGCTAAATAAGCGCATAGAACATGGCATTTGCTATAGGCTGTGCTCAAATATAATTTAATCGGAAAATAATATTATATTATTGACATCAAAAAGATTGCACAAAAGATAAGGAAGATTAAAAAGAATTCCCATAATCCAGATTTTAACAGATTTTGAAAAGATTTTAAAATAATAATAATTTGATAGTCATTTTGCTATCACTGTCACGAAAAGTTTTTCGATCGGTATTAAAATGAAAAAATTTAACCCACATATATAAAATTCTTCTAAGTGGTTGCAATAACCACAATTACCACAATACTCACAGTTTGTCTTAGTCAGAACATGAAGCCTATGAGTCAACCCACAATAGCCACTGACAGCATCGGTGGTTCATTCTGTGGTTTCATGTAACAAAGAACATTTGTTCTCGACTTTTTGTTGTAATCAAATTTTATGTTTGGCTATTGATTCGGACAATTGTTGTAATAGTTGCTGTTGTTGTTTTTGTTGTTGTTGTGCATTTGCATGGAAGTGGAGCATTGAGAATGCATTTGATTTGGTCATTGACACGAATATGCCCAACTGAACCCTAATAAAAATTCGAACGCTATAAATCATCGACATAATCGATTGCTACAATCGATCTTTTGGGCCACACAACCGCAACGCCGATAGCTATGTACGCGTGTGTATGTTGCACGATCCAAAGCAGCTGTTAATTGTTGCACACGTTGAAAAGGGTGCAGTGGTTCAGTGGTTTGTAACTGGCTCGCTTTGGTCACGTGTGCGACCAGCGCGCACAGCTGTTCAGATAAGAGCCAAGCAACCACTTGACGTTCAAGTGCATTGGCTAACAAAGCAGCGGGCCACTCCCCCCATCTACTCGCCTACTCCCCAGTTACACATACTATGTATGGTTGTGTATTGTGCCAACACTCATACGCCCCATTAGACACACCTAATAAACTTGCATACAATTTTGACAACCTCATTTGTATATTGGCTGTTAAAAGTCTTTGTATGTGCAGGTCTTATTTGTATTGATTGTTATTTATTTGCATGCTTACTTATATAAAAGACAGCCACAAATATCATTAAATTTGCGTATTACGCAGAATTTAAACCTCAATAAATATTCTTCATAACTCCCTGATTTATTTCTAACAAATATTTCTAAAAAATTATGATGATTTTTAATTTAACATTTTAAGGATTTTTAAGAAACCCATGAGAATACAAGAAATGTGTTTGGGTAATTCACGAAGTATCTGCTGGTCGAGTAAATTAAAAGTACTCAAACTTGTTATGAGTGTAATTTAAAAGAAAGAGTAACCTTTTCTGAATCGCACAAATCTATAAATATTCTGACTTAGATAGCCAAATGTAGTTGGATGGAAAAATTGATAAATGCATCTATCGATCAGTATAAATTAAACTTGACCTCTTACATGTAGGGCCAGCCCTCAAGCTGTCCATTGAGTAGACCTACTAAACATGCCAACAATCTTACTGACAAACTAAACAAAAAAATTTCGATCATAATACAATTAATTAAGACCTTGTTATCCAAATACGTTATCCAACACACACATAATCCTGCTATCACTCAAATCCAAACACTCTGTGTCTCTTTTCTCTCTCTCTCTCTTTCTCTTGCCCGATTTTGCAGATATCAGATTCCCAAAATATCTCACAGCCGAATGGCACACAGCACACACAGCGCAAACAAATGGAGGTGCTGCGCACCGCCAATGGCGCCATGCAGGTGATACGCACACAGACAGTACAAAAGACATCATCCACATCCCGTTGGTCCACCTCCTCATCCACTAAAACCACCACCCGCAGCAGCACAGGCGCAGCGCCTATGGCGCTATTTGCGCCTCGAACAAGTCAAGGCGTTGACATTTGTGAGCTAAGAAACGACGACGACGACGACGATGACGATGACAAACATAATGATTATGTTGATGATGGTGAGGATAGCATACATAATGGCAGCGACGCTGGCGTCGTCCACGAGTGCACGACTGCATCTATGCCAAGCACTGGCTATGGCCAGGAGCTGGTTGATGATCATGTTGATTTTGTTGTGATTAATGGCCATGCGGACGTTGATGACGCCGCAGACGACGACGACGACGACGACAACGACGTCGCTCATTTGCACAAACTCGGCCACAATTTGTTACTCGATACTGCGCCAAGTTTGAAATTGAGCAATCTAATGGTAAGTTGTACCCACCGCCCGCCTAACCACTATCTACCGCCTGTCCATCCGACCCCGCACCCAAACCCGAACCCGCACACGTTAAACCCTATGCCTGCCCAGGCTCCGAAATGCGGTAGTCGCCGCTTTGGGCCGTCATTTTTCATGCGCTTGTTGGCGGCTCATTAGCATGCGGCTATGTTTGCTTTTCGTTTTTTCTTAGTTTGCTTTTCTTTGGCTTTCTGTTTCCTTTTTGTTTTTTTTTTTTTTTTTTGCTCTGCGATGGGCAATGAGATCCCGGCCATGGCAATGACCGAAAATGGCTCTTAACGATCTGTTAGGCTTGAGAAAAGCTCGAGTAGAGGAAATCATGAAAACTAAAGTCTTGTAATCATGATGTTTACATAAATTACCAAAAACTGACTAACATGGAAAGGGTACATTTTCATCCTATTTACAAATTAGGCAAAAATGCAATGCATAAATAATAAGAAGTCCTATTGAGTAAAAAAATATATAGAAAATGCCTAAATTGTAAATAGCTATCAGAATACTTCAATAAATGTTAACTCTTGAATAGAAATAGAGTAAACAATTTGAAAATTAAAAGAAAAATATTCCAACATTATTTCAGCAAATTAGCAAGAATAATAAATTCTGATCAAACATCTAACATATACAAGAATTGTTTATGTAAAAAGTATTTATATTATGCACTAAGCGTTCAACGTAGCCCGTTTCCAAGAACATCAACTTATTTCTTCCTTATTTATTAGTAAGCTTTCATAAATTAATAACGCTAATCACACGGTGCAAAGTCAACAAAAGAAATTAATAAATGTGCGCACGCATGTCACATTTAGACATTTGAAATTGGCAATTGGCCAAACATCATGGATCATCAGATCGCAGCCGCAGCCAGACGACCACGCTCTGAATGTGATTCAAATGAAGCGCCTGGCAACAATCGGTTTAATAGGCAAGCTCAATTAAGCATTTGGCACTTAAGCCAAATTTATGAACAGCAATCGAACCATTTTGGCCAGCAGACATTTGGGTCATGACTACAAAGGAAATTCTGGCACTCTGCCACCCGTGGTAAGGCGACGCGCCGAATTAAATCTCGGCTTGGTCATTAGGCAAACAGCAAAAAGTGTTTAATTAGTGGTTCTCCAGAGGGAGGGGGGCAAGCGGGTTAGTCATAGCAGACGCGACGTGAAGCTCGAGCCGAGCTTTACGCCCACCAGGAACATGGCCATGCCCATCAATCTTGACACGAAAATTGCTTTCTTCATTTTTGCTTATTGCGGAATTTAAAAAAAAAATTTGTTAACAACGGAAAATATGTAAAATGTATAAATACAACAATATTTATAATCATATTGATAAGCAATTCAGTATTTCCTATATAAAAAAATAATTAAAAGGAATCTTGCAGAGACGTAGACCGACATATAAAAATAATAATAAAATGTTTTTTCCCCAAAAATAAACATTTATAAAGAAAGTGATTTTTATGAAGACACCTTGAAGATAATTTAAGTTCTACTCATTTGCATTTTCATTTCTTGCACTTTTCGCTTAAGTTGATCCTTTTCACCGTATTAAAGTCAAAATTCAATTAGATGTACGTTTCGAATATAAATAACTTACCCATTTACAATACTTCTGGAATTGAAAGCTGCTTTTCTCATTTTTGCGTTTTTCACCTTATTGCCATTTCACAACATTTACAATATTTAAGTCCACGTCTATTCTGCTTTCTTGTGCTTTCGAATTTAAGATATTTATTTAACGTTCGCTTTGCTTAGCACGACACGCTGTCCACATCCCAATCAAAGATTAAACGCCCATCGCGCAATTTACGTGCTGATAATACGGAAATATGGATATCTAATGCCATGCATACTTTTTAGCTTAGATGTGGGTAATTTAAGTGCGGAATCCTTTCAGTGGTGCAAAAAATTATATTTATATATCTATTAATTAATAAATAAGTATTATTAAAAACTTTTAATATTATGGAGTACACTCACCGTATAACGATGCATTCAAGCTTAGTTCAGTGAGCATTCAGTTTCCATAGGATTATTTTCTCATGCAGGTTTTGTGTTATTAATTATTATCCAATGCTTTTGTGTCTCAGCTTTTAAAGATCACTGGAGTGGGTCTTTCCATTATATTCTCAGCTGTCCAGGCACATGTCAATCACAGGTTAAACGCCCATCAGACAATTTAGGCGCTTATAATACGGAAATCCATTTATATTGCTTTTAGCTTGAAAGTGAAGAACTTCCTTAAAGCCTGTCTGCAACAACAATAACAACAATAACAGATGTGCTAATTCGAGCCAATATGCTTTTGTTTACCATTTACAGAAAAGCAGTTCGAGTATTTCCAGCCAAAGCAGCAACAACTCAAATTTAACAACTGCAGCAGCAACAGCAGCAGCAGCAGCAGCAGCGGCTGGCAACACCCACAGAAATGCGGGCAAAATAAGCCTACATGCAATTGTTGGGCAGACAACAACAACAACAAGCACCGCAGCAGCAGCAACAGCAACATCATCATCATCTGGCACATTATCAACGTGGCCTCAGCGATTGGAGCAGGCTGACTTATATGGCCAGGCCAACAACAACAACAACAACAGCAGCAAGCGTCGCGTGGGCGTTGCTGCTGACGTCGCCGCTGTGGCCACGCCAACGCTGCGTCGTGATTTGGAAAGTTTCCGGCATCATGATGACGCCGCCACCGCCGCCGACGACGACGTTGATGAAGATTTGCGGTAAGTGCTTCAAAATTCAATTTGAAATTTGAAATCTTTGTGGCATTATTTGCTTGAGTTCGCTGCTTTAAACACTTGCAGGCTCAGCGCACGGCACCAGCGTCGCCAGCAGGTGTCCCAATCCGTTTATGCGCCACCGTTGCCCGCCAGCTTTGGCAGCCTGCAGCGTTCCCGCTCCATATCCACGGATGATCTCAGCAACGATTGGCAGCAGCGCGGCGAGGAGCAGACAGAGGAGGAACTGCCGTGCGGTGATTGGCGACGCGTTAGTAAATTGCGTCGCTCCTTTCAGTCGCAGGATTATCATAATAAAACACAGTCCAGGCCACGTCCACTTCCATTGGATTTGCCCAGCAGCACGGTGAGCGTGGCACGCATACGCGCCGAGCTGGAAAACGGACGCAGGCTCAACACGGCCATGCGCAACAATCACGTCGATCTGGCCGCACTGGACAGCATACTTAACACTACAGCAGCAGCGGTCTCTGCAGCGGGAGCAGCAGCGGCAGCAGCAGCGAGCGCAACAGCCCAATCTTCCAGTAAGCCACAGCTGGCCAAACGCAGCACATTTCTCACCGCCGCATCGCTGCAGGAGATACGAGGCAAACTAAAAAAACTCTCAGACGAGAGCCTGTACAAGGAGGACTTCCTGGCGCATCAGGCCATTGCCCAGCCCGCAGCGGTTGAGGTGGTGCAAGCGCCTGTGCCGGCGCCCTCCACGCCCTCCGCTTTTCGCGTCGTTCACAACACGCACAGCCTGGAAACGCGTCAGCGGCCCAAGGACAGCAGCTCCAGTGAGTGGCATTTGCGTCGAAAATCGTACGGGTTTGAAAAGATGTCTCCGCCCGAGAATCGCAGCATTTTCCGTGTGGACGCCTCCACGGACAGCGGCCTGGGCCGTTCGGGTGAGCAGCTAGGCAATTGGTCGCCCACAGAGCGTTCGGCGGCTGCTGCGGCCAATGGAGCCGGCTCCACTATTATACACTTTGGCCGACAACAAGTGGGCAAGCCGGCAAGCCCCAGCGAGGCGGAGCAGCTAAGCAAGCGGCACTCCATTGCGGTAGAGGAAACTTGGCGCGATATACGGAAAACTTCACAGGTAAGAAGAAGAGCAACAGTTGCCTATAAGATTAATCGATACTATTTTCGCAACGATATAACGATTAGATTTACGATTTGGCGCCATAGTTCAAAAAGCAACAGACTTAGGTGGAAAATGTAAGCGCTTTTCTATAAATCGACTGGCATTTTATTAATGGTGCCAGTTATGATTATCAGTTATGTAGATGTAATTTTAAGATTTATTTATTTTCTTGTTTCTATCGATGCAATAAAATATCGCAGATTCTTATTGTGTCCAAATGTATCGAGATATATCGATATACATTGTTGCATGCGAACATTTCCGCGCATTTTACCCATAATACAAATTCCATTGAACTTAAACGACTTTCATTCCCACTTCCAGGTACATGTCAATGGTGATTCCATTAATGGCAGCAACGGCAACAACAGTGCCAGTCAGCTGCAGCGCAGCAGCGCACAGAAACGCGTCGAATTCTGTAAAACGGAGGTGCACTTTGCCGCCGAATCGGGTCGAGTCAATATTGTTGAAACCGATGGCAAACCGCCGCCCACGCAAAACTTTCGTCGACGCCGACGCACCGCCAGCGGACCGCTGCAGAGCCTGGTCAAGTCTGCCAGTGTCACCAGCAGCAGCAGCAGCAGCTCCAGCAGCAATGTTACCCACTTTGGCGACGATCCAACCGTACGCAACAAAACAATTGCCTCCAGCACAGTAGCCTATCGTGCCACACTGATGGAGCCGCCGGAGCTAGTCACTCAGCCAGTGGCTGGCACACAGGTTACGGTTATAACTAAGCCGTTGGTGGAGCCGCGCTACAGTCTGCTGGAGACTACCAGCTCCACGTCCAGACATAGCTATACCTCCACCAGCGGAGTGGACACAACGGACAATGAGACAGATGAGTTGGCCAACATACGTGGCATATTAAAGAATAAGCCTGTCAAGCCGAAACCCTATCATCTGGGCGAGAATATTGAGAGTGCCGATGTGCTCTGGAGCGTGCCAGCTACCATCAAGAGCGACAACAGGGAGAATAGTCCGCCAAGTCGGGAAAGTGGTGAGTGAATGCCATTCGAGTTAATCGTAAGAGATTTTTATTTTAAGACCAAAGGTATTCTTCCATTTCGGTATCAAACACGGTTAAATTCAGCTTACACAAGTGGAAAATGCATGGAAATATGGGTGATAAAACAAAGGAAAAGAGATAAATAGGAATTGAAGAAAATAATTAATATAATAAAGCTCCTTCAAATTGTACATCTTTAGACCTTTGTGGCGAATATTTAAAAGCCACCATTTACCCAACCAAAAAGTCTCTTTTACAATCTGTTTGATAAATCATATTTAAATTTGATTTTATGATAATAATCTTAGTTAAAAATAATTGTTTCAAGTTAAAGTAACTGCACATGAAATAAACATTTGAAACAACATTTACTGATTGACTTCCCTGTTTAAACGACAGCCGCTGGCGACTCGCCGATAACCACCAAATCGGTTGCTGAACGGGTGCGGATTGTGGAGCAGCGGCAGTTCGATAAGCAGAAGCAGCCATCGCCAGCCGGGAATGGATACTCGACGAAGATCAATGTGAGCCTCGGAGCTGATGATTGGTCAGAAACAGGTTGGTATTTTGTTGGAGAAACGTATTAACTTTGTAGCTCGTACTTATTTAAGTGTCTTGTGTTTTGTTGCGTCTATACGGCTCAGTAGTAAACTCCTCTACTTGACTCTCAATTTGTTTAGTCTCGATATAATCAAAACTTGATCTCGTAATGCATGTCCAAGCCGCTGCTTCTACTTTGCACTAAGCCAAGATTAAAACGCTACGCATCTAACGCTAACATTCTAATCATTAAACACAAACAACAAATGCTAACCAGTGTTGGAAAGAATCAATTGGAATATCAAATTAATTTGACTTAACTAAATCATGACTGAAAAGCTAAGTTTCATCTTTTAAAAATGTTTTAATTGAATAGTTTTGATAGAGTATTAAAAATCTTGTTAGAGCTCTTGTTTTGGCATTTGGCGCCCAATCTATTTTTTTTGCCATCTGTCTTTTAAATACTTTAAATAAATTTTCATATTCTTAAAAAATGTTAATTTTGATACAAACACCAATGTAGGGTACAAGTATGCATTTTATTTAAGACTTTCTAAATTTGCAATATCTAAAATATATTTAAAAAAAAATTCAAAATATGATTAGCTGCTTAAAATTTTTATTAAACGGTTAACAAAAATTATTGTTTAAATCAATGAGAAAATAAACAACATTTATGAATTCAAAACAAGAATTGGCATATTGTTGCTCAATTTAATTAAAATCAATTAATAAATATATTAACTCAGTCTCAGATAACTCTTGCATTCAGTCATGATTATCTCAAAATTAATCCCTCCCAACACTGCCACTAATCCAAGAGCAAATCATACATACCACAAAAGAAGCCAAAACACCAACAACATTTTCTCGCACATCTCCACATCACAGGTCGTCGTCGCAGCAGCGCACAGGAGCTGCTGCTGCAGGACTTGCGCGCCCATCAGCGCATCCTGGACGAAGGCCTCAAGTCCACATCGCTTATTATGAAAACAATGCGCTCGGCGAGCGAATTCGATGAGGCCATGCGTCGCCTGAGCATAGCCTCAATCGAGTCCGCTTTGATACAGCCCACAATTGTGGTTCCCACGCCCATGTTGCGCTCGCATAGCTATCAGGAGGAGAGCTGCCGTCGCACCTCAACTACGTCTATCACCAGCAGCGATTTATTTGGCAGCGCTCTCTACGATTCACTGCCACGCACGCCGCTGGCACCGCCACGACTCAAGCTGCTAGGCAATACGCAAATACCCGTGAGTCAGCAGCTGACACAGCTGCGGCGACTCTATGATGCTGCGGATCAGGAGGAGGACAGCGCCGATGAAGAGGTCAAGCGTTATTTCCGTGAAAGCAACAACAGCGACAGTGGCGGTGGCACTCAATGCAGCTCCTCACCCGAGGATACAGTGCTCAAGGGCACTGAATACTCGAGCAGCTGGAGTCGCTTGAAAGCCAAGCGCACCATCTGGAAGATTGAAGCGCAAGAACAAACGATACAGCGTACAGGTAAAGCCATCGGCGCGACGGGCGTGCCGTGTTCAGGTAGAGGAGTTTACTTAGCGTCTAGGGCCCAGGCAGTTGAACATCACCTGACTTCCACATTAATACTCCTTTTCTCTATATGCTCCTTTCCAGATCTGCCCAAGTCAAATGTGATGAACATAGCTCTGCATGCACCCCGGCTGCAGAAGCCGAAGCCCACACCGCCCACGCTGCGCATTGGGCAGCTTGTGCCCGTGGCCAAACCGCGAACACTGCTTGTACAGCCACAGCCGCAAGCACCGGTCGCGGATAATGCAGACGAATCGGGTAGCGAATCCCTTAAAATTGTCAAGGAGGCACGTGGTGCACGCAAGCTACGCGAGCACGAGCTCTCCTACTTTGGTGTACAGCATTCACCGACGCCCACACAGACCACCAAATTACACGTTACGCCCAGTAACCCACGACGTA